CCCTCATATTCCCCTCATTCCCTCACTCCCTTCATATTTTCATAACTTGGCCACTTCTTCCATCAAAAGATGAGTACTATTTCTGCATTCCTTGGTGTGTTTGTTTGTTTGCTTGCTTGCTTATTTGCTTGCTTGTTTCTGAAGACAGTCTTACTATGCAGCTCTGGCTGGCCTGGAACCCACAGTGATCCACCTGCCTCTGCCTACTGAGTGCTGGAGTCAAAGGCACGGACCACCACCATACCAGCTCCCCACTCTTTGAACCAAGATAGCTTTGATACTTGCTCTCACAAGAAGAGTGTGTAGAAGTGACACTGTGTGACTTTGGAGAACAGAGCTAACCTTGCAACATCTCCTCTCACCCTCAGAGAGTGAGGCCTGAGACCATATGCCAGGAAACCAGGTCTGTAGCCAGCTTTGGCTACCTTGTGGATTCCTTTTTCTTCCACCCGTCTCTGTTGGGAGCCCCTGGTCTGTCAGGCTGCTTTATTATTGAGCATCAGCTGAAAGACATATTTTCACCCTGTCCTTCACCTGGAGTCAGTGATAAGCCTTTTGTTTGAGACAGCAGGTGGGATGTCTTGTAAAGTTCACACCTTTTGTTTGTGTGAGGATCACACAGACAGGTGGTCCACATAAAGAAGTTTTTACTCCGTGAACCCATTCATTTTACTGAGGTGCTTTTGCTCCGACTTGAAAAGGGATTATTAGAATAAACTGGGATGACTAGTTTCTGCTGGAGACCTCTCAGACAGATCCCATGTGTAGTGTGTTGGTTTATTAATTTTCTTTCAATCCTCCCTCCCTACTCAAGAACTGTTCAACTCTGCTGGCAGGCTCTGGCACTTCTCCACCCTTTTCCATCCTTTCAACCACCTACCTAACACTAGATATGAGGAAAAAAATAGAGGGGAAAGATGCTAACATTATTGTTAGACTACTTCTTACTGATTAGGGCCTTTGAACTCCTTGGGGCAAGTTTGATCTTTAATGTCTGGATATCTAATTATTTCTTCTCCTTCTTCTTCTTCTTCTTCTTCTTCTTCTTCTTCTTCTTCTTCTTTTTCTTCTTCTTCTTCTTTTTCTTCTTCTCCTTCTTTTTCTTCTTCTTCTTCTTCTTCTTCTTCTTCAATCTTCGATGTCATGATATCTAATTCTTCTTCCTCTTCCCCCTTCCCCTTCTCCTCCTCCTCATTCTTCTTGTTTCTTCTTTGTTCATGACTATTTAACAAACCAAAACCAACAACCAACCAACCAATAAACAAAGAACCCACCTATGGGGCTCTAGCATTTATATATCCTCTGAAAAGTCCCCAGACTTCCAAACATCACACAGTCACAGAAACTATCTGCAGCTGGCAAAATGATGCCTCTGCTAGAGCACGAGGCAAATCATAATCAGCTGCTCTGAAGCAGACCCATATTTTCACACCTGGGATTAAAATGAAACATATTCTTATAATATTCCTGTGTTGTTGTTGTTTAAGAAACCAAAATCCCAAATTTCTCATTACACAGTCTAATCTAGGGAAGATGTTTCTGAAGACTTCTCAGGGTTAGAAAAATGGTTTCTATGTCTATAGACCAATGAAACAATTGGCAAGATGATTGCTTACAACCATCAGGAAAGGATAAAGTATATGGGCTGAAGCTAAGAAGTTATCTAAGGAGATCTCTAACAATGTTCAAAGTACCTGTTGGGTGCTTCCAGCTGCAAAGAATAATGAATTTATTTGCAAGAAGAGAAATATGAAATCTATAAGATTATAAAAAAAAAAAA